TATATATATATATATATATACAGAAAAAGATAACGTATGTGCAACAAATTATTCAACACCATATATATTATGGGTATATCATAAATACTACATATGTAGTTCTCTCCTTGTCAAATATCTACTTAGGCCTATTAAACTTTAGAATTTCAGTTGACAAGTCGAATTATCTTCTCTATTACTATCGCATCAGTACTCTCTGATTCAATTACAATTATGGCGCAAGTTACCGTAATCGTTTGGTCTTCTTTCTTCTGAAGATCCTCTGTTCCTTTTATCAATGTGCACTCAGGCTGATTCAGTTACTTTAGAATCACGCTTTGATGGAATAAATTATTTTTCTTATCTTATTTTCTTCTGTTAGTTTCACTCTAACATATTAAACGTTAGACTTATGTCAATCGTTAGGCCTATCACTTCTACGGTAGTTAACTTCACACCAACTTCGTTCTCTTTTACTATTATTTGCCTGCTTATGTCTGTTTGCTGCTTCCCCTCGTCTCACTATTTATATCATTATCACTTACTCGTCTGCCAACCTTCTATATTCTCTACGTCAATGAATTATTAACAAAACTTCCTACAATCGTCTGCTTTTAACTCTTATTATAATAAAAACTAAACAATAATAAAATATTCACTCACAAAAATAAATGAATCAATAATATTTAAATCAAACAGTCTTTTATATTATGACAATGTCTTAATCTTTGAATGCAAACATAACATGTGACTTTCGCCATTCTAGTCAACTAAATATTTTGGAATGAAATTTACTGGCTCACACCAACTTTTATCTAATAATAAAAAAACACTTTTATATTAGTAAATTCACATTTTTATGACAGGAATAAGTAGACGAAAATTTAACAAAATCAGCAAAAGAAGGAGTTCCAGTAAACTCTCCCACCGAGTGATGTTTTTAGGGTTAAAGACCAATATTAAATTACGGTTCTGAAGAATTTCATGAAGGGGGGTTAATGAACGCCTATACGTGCGTTAAGAACCCCAAAGTTGTACTGTTCTCATCAGCTTGTGAAGTTTATTGTGAGATAAATCATTGTAAAGATGTATTTTGCGGTTTTACACATACATATATGGTGATGATGTCATGTCATTTTCAGGAAATTGCTAGCCCTAAGTACAAATCTGAAAATATTTAGACTGATATTCTTACGTCTCCGTTTGTTAATTGATTTTCCGTAAATTCTTTCCGACGAAACTTTAGCGACACAAGTCCTT